AGGGTTTTAGCAGTAAGCAAGTATCGTATTATTAAGGTATTACTAACAGCATAGTCAACTCTAGCATCTGAATACTACACAGTATAAACTAAAGCAACATGGCACCAACTACCGCGACCAGACCCATGCAAACAGCTCCGTGACCAGCAAGTCTCATGCCCGAGTTTGGCGCTGTTGTAGCCGATGTAACAGGAGTCTCAGTTCCCGATGTCGCATCCGAAGTAGCGCTGCCTGAAGATGTCTCTGTAGTACCAGCAGTAGCAGCCACGGCTACGGTCGTACTCTCAGTGCTACCGTTGGATTCAGCAGTGGTCGTCTTGGTAGTTGTCTTCGCACTTGTCGCGGATGTAGACTCATTATCGTCTGCGCCGAATTCCTTGATATCCAGCACATAAGTCCCATTTCCGCTGACTCCTTCCTGCTCGAAACTAGCCCAGCTAGGCTTTCCGTTTGCTCCCAGCGATACACAGGCCTCGCGGTACGCGTTGCTGGCGCAGATACTGTTTCCATCGCTGGTAACGCCGCCGCCAGCGTTGGTGCACGAAACGAATAGCTGAGTGACCAGCTTGGCCGTATTATCGAAGAATTCATGCTCAGAGTTGGAGCTCAGACAAGTGCGGCAGCCATCCATAGAGCCGTACCACCCATCGGGGTTGGGAATACACACGCAGTCCCGTGTTTCTTCCTTGGGCCACTTGAGTTTTTGGCACTTGAGCATAGCCTGGTAGATAGGCCAGCAACCGCAGTCGTCGAGTTTGGAGGGGCTGTCGTCTGCCTCTTTGGTCTTGGACCAGCCGTTGGGTTCTGCGGAGGCGAAGCCAGAGATGGCGACGAGCGCGGCGAGAGCTGAGAAATGCATGGTTGAGTAGTTGGGTCTGAACGAATGACGAGCGGGTGAAAGAGTGACGTGAATGGAAGTTTGCAGAGGCAAAAGGAATGGGCTATCGTGAGATTTTAAAATGCGATCCTTCACCGGATAAATCTTGAAGTGACTAGCGCTGTCAGCTGTAATTTCCGGGTTTAGGCGCCAGCATCCATAATTCGCCCGGTTGCCTTCCGTGAGATCTTGGCGTGATAAATCGCACGATCGGTGGAAGAGGCTGCAAGCCCATTGAGCTTATCTTTGCTAATCGTTATACCGGGCCTCCCTTTGTAAAAAACCGTATATACATTTGTTACATGGCTTGATTTCGCCATCAGACATCACAGCTGTTGAATGTCAATCGGGCGACTTCGTGCATAAAGGAGATTTTCGCCAAGGAGGAGTCATTCCCCAGATGGAAATCCCCGAGACAAGGGTGCAAGTGGATATACCCACCGCTTTTGGCGAGATACTCAAGCACTAACATGCTGCTGCGTGAAATTGACGAATTAGGGATAAGAAGAATGTGTCCTCGCTTAGAGGGTCTTGCAGTGATTGGCCACAATGCATTCAAAAATTACAGGGACTCTAGCCCTGTGGACGCTCGATCGCTTGTGACGTTAGTCAAGACGTCCCTCTTGGCTTGGCAGTGACAGCTGCGGAAACAACGGCATCATCTTAATTATTGCCAAGATGATTGATCAGACCTAGCATTTTAATTCTGTATGTTGGCGACCAGGCCATGTAATTTTGGGGGTGTATGGGCAAGTTTGATATGTGTTTTCACCTTGCTCAAGTGGCCACTACCTGACCTACCCTGAACTGCCATTAATGAGCTCGGTGACAGTCGATTAAATTCACTTCAGAAAATAAGAAAAAAGTATTGCACAGACACCACTGTCTTAATTTTATCTTTTAATGCAAAGCCGCATCTCAAAAGCCCGTTACTTGTATATGGGATCAGATAGCCACTACTCAATCACCGAGAGCTGACTAAAGTCAAGTGACACAATCCGTAAACGTCCAGCGATTTGGAATAACCCAGCCATCTCCAAAACTCATTGGCCACTGGGCCTTAATCGCAACATGGCACCACGGTCTCATCTGTCTCCGAAAAAAAAGGCATTTTATAATATCCCAGGCGCCGACCAGGCTCGCCAAATAGTACTTTGCTTCGATATAAAACTCTTTGGAGCTTACACAGCTCAAAATAGCTGTCCCCACATCCGGCCCTACGGAGCCAGGCAACCAACGTGGATTCTGTTAATATAGCGGCGCCTGGCCTTCCTATTCAAGATACAACCTTTTACCTGCCTAGTAATTGCCTATAAGTTTGGCGATATTATATATCCTGACACTCTACACTCTCTTTACCAGCCTCATAACTCTCCTTATATCTCTTCTCCTTGAGAATGTCACATTACTCAGTCTATCTCGTTGAATCTATGGGTATGCCACGAAACCACCATGCAATTTTTATCAAAACAAAGCGACAAAGAGGAGGGGACCATCTTCAATGGCACGGGGAATGCAATGAATGGATTTACTCTCGAAATAAGGGAAACCTCTTAAAGTCCCAGGTCCGAAGCAACTTTCGAGTCATGGACAGAGATAGGAGTGATTGTAGTCGACGATTTGCCTCGTGTTAAAGCAATCTGTGAGGCAAATCCTCCCCCAGGAAAGCAGTATGATGGACTCAAAAGAATAGACCCTGAGAAGCCTCTGCGACGATGCCAGGAATGGACCAGGGAAACGATTGGATATCTACGAGAGCAAGGTGTTCTTCTGCACGACAACTTGGAGCTGCGGAAGATCCAAATACCGGAAACTGAACCTCAGTTTGATGCTTGACACTGTCAGTAAGTGGTCAAAAGAGATCCTTGAGGGAAGTCATCCGGGGGCAGCAATAGAGAATGATCACACAGTGGAAAGTAGTGGAGGTATTGATATTGGAAGGATACAACATGCATAAGCGGTCATAGGAATACGTATTTCAATTGGATCTGTCAAGTATATTGATCAGCCACATTACTGCAACAGCTGGCAAATGAAGCCCAATTGTGACATAAGTACAAGAACAGCTACCAGTACTGCTTTCCAGTTCCTCCATATCCCCAACGTCGAAGAATGCCTGCCCTGCCTGGAAGAGCAAATTTGAAAGAGCGGTGAATCAACCTATACCACAGAAGCAACTAGGTCCTGATTGTCTGAGAATTGAACACTCTTGAAAGTGGAGGTTTGTCCGCTTGGGAAGCTGTATGCTGCCGTGTTGGACAGAGGGACCCTCAGCGCTGTTGACTGAAGAGCGTCGCCCAACATTCGAAGTTCCTGGATAAACCCATCGGAATCAGTGAAGAAATTCTGAATGAGATCATCAGGCGCAGTTGAATTGTCCGTAATCACAGGGTCCACACTGGCGCCCAGGATGCCACTCGCGTCAACGGTGAGGGTATAAGTATCAACAATAGTCTTGTCAACCGCATTCCCGCTGGTCGCGGTCTGGAACGTTCTCATGTCGTAGTTGATTACTAAACGCTGGGAAATGACGATAGTTGTACTTCCATTGGTGTTGGTGAACTGGATGTCCATGTTGTAGGTTGTGCCAAGCGTGAACGAGCCCAAGTTGTCGTTGATGCCCGCCCCATCGTGGCTCTGGTTACTATAGCTATAGGATAATACCGTCTCGCCCGTTACCTCACTCAAATTGGGTTGACCGCCAGGACGAACGTTGGAACTCATGCTGCAGCTGAACCCCTCTTGCTCGCAGCGGGCTTCTACTTGTAAGCAGACGCTTGGAATGTAGTTCTGCAGGCTTTGGTTGATAAAGTCCCGCAAATTGTCGCGATTGATGGCAAGGACCCCATTTTGGTTGTTCCAGATTAGAGAAGTCGCCATGATTTAAGTGGATATAATAGGTGGTCGGAGGGAGAGCTGGGATTGAAGGGTAGGCAATATTCAAGTCAAAAGTCCAGAACCAAGGTTTGCGGTATCAAAATGAAAGAAGTAAACAGGAATAAGAACTATTATATACATAAAGATAAGCATTCTCCCTTCTCAATATCTAGACTAAGGATGGTCTAAATAGAGCCACTTGTCTTAGAAAAAGGTCTAGATCACCAGCCAGCCAGCCACTTTAAATATAGCGGAGAGTCTGGAATAATCTGTCCCTAAATAGCCTAGTCACAAGAACTAGCGTACAAGAGCACTGATGCAAAGAGATTTAACAACCTCGATAATATATAAGTATGACTCCCTATAAAATACATACTTCTTATTCCAGCAATTGTCAGTCAGAATCAACTATCTGTATAGTTCATGGCCCTCTTTATAGACATGAAGCATAACTTCAAAAGTCTACACCGTTGGCAGGGGCTGCTAGCGATGCATCTCACAGCCACAATTGAGTCGTTTGACCACTTTCGTGCATAGTAGTCCAAACTATTGCTGCAAGCCTCAATAGTCTGGATCGCGTGTTTTTTTTTACCGTAGATATGGATTTCTAGCTTAACTGAGAAGAGAAGTGCGCGTTGTGTCGATTGCACGCTCAAAACCATATTTGGCACAAGAGCGTCGTCGATTGAGCCGTTAAAGATTCGTATATTCAGCCACATTCAGAAAGAAAAAAGTCATGTCAAAACATTATACAATCTCCACGCTGACTCAATTATTCTCCGTACGGGGAAGTACCCATCCCCAATGTAACAAGGAGGGGGCTTTAATGACGATCGGACCTGACTATTAGAAATAGATACAACTACCGATTCTGGCAGCTTGGAAGGATGATGGGGCAGTGTGCCGATCTTTCAGGCGGTTTTGCGATCAGCATCAAAGGAAGCGGGTCGATTACTTCTTATAGTATCTCTTTCGAGCGGTGTATAAAATTTGGATTTGGATCCTAGATATCATGATAACCTCGAAGGAACATACGTCTCGGCATGCTTAATTTGGTATACCAGAAAGTTTGGCGCAGCCTAGAATCGAAACTGCTCAGTTGGAAGGAAAAGCTATAAATCGCGCTGAGGTCGCTTCCTTCCGGCTCGAGATCGACAATCATTCACACACAACTTCATTTAACAACTCTTCAAGCAACTAGACTCAATACACCATGTCTTTCAAAGCCCTCTTTCTCACTGCTGCAATGGCAAGCTCCGCCCTCGCCGCCAACAACCTCAACTTCATCTACTCCCGCGGAGACTTCGCAACCGGCGGCCCCGGCGGCACCCAAACCGGCCACACCAGCGGCCTGACCATCACCGACAACACAGGCAAAGAACTCTACAGCGAGTCCTACCCCGGTAACGCCTCTCCCTGCGCCAACCCCAACATGGAGCTCAAGATCACTTCGTCTTGCTGGGAGGGAGAGTTTTCTTTCAACTGCGCTGCCAGTGCCTTTGGAAGAATCAACGGCTGTGAAGTCAAGGCTGGAGATAACAACTTTCCTGGTAAGGTTGACTCTGATGAGAACTTTACGGGCATCTCGGTTTCGGTTCAGGATGTTTGTGGTGGTGGATTTGCGACTGGTGGGGATTGTGGGGAGGGGGCTACTTTCGAGATTGCCTCTCACAACCTGCGCAGACTTGGAATAGTCGAATATCACCAGTTTTGATTTCCAGACTGGATCTGAAATAGTCTAGATAACTTTAAACTATTTGACTATATACTGTAAATCCGACTTCAGGTGTTTGACTGTTTGAATCTCTGATTGTGATTTTAAGTTGTACTGAGAACTATCCTTTTAGTAACTATGGATATACTACTATTGACTTCAGTTTAGCAAATGGCACGGTAGAATACTCGCCATGTATAGAAGGGTCTCATCACTAAATGATAGATTCTACACAACGGACGGTAGAACCCTTGGCAAATTGGCTACCGGATATGGACGCTGGTATGAAGCTGTCGAATGCATGTCGAATGGCTATGCTACTCGAAAGAAATGGGCAGACACCAATCGCTGAAATGATAATAAATCTAGAACCAGCCAATATTGGCCAGTTTAGCCGAAAATTGGAACAAGTGTTTCCACGCAAGAGAAAATGCCTATTGGTACCGAAAGCAAGATAATCCATCTTGATGCAGGAATTCAGAACTAGACTACGGAATCCATGTACAAGAGGGGTAAAGAGCAATAACAGAGTGTATAAGGATGAGATGCGCTCTTCAAGCACTTACAGCTTGTGCTCCTGCACATTGCCAAGTTCAAAGCTAGCGTTCAAAGCTTCTGCCACCTCTCGAACCTTTCCCGCATCTACTTGCCGGGCCTCGTCAGGTACAATAACACCCTCAAATGACCCACCAGCCTCTTCGATCACCTTTTCAAGGCCATCGCCGCTCGCAAAGGACCAGAATCTCACATACTTGGCCTCAAACTGAACCGTGACCTGCGTACCCGCAGGGATGAATATCGTATCACCAGCTCCAACCTGGCCGACTTGGCCGTCCACGCTGACCGAGATCGCTCCGTCCAAAACACAGTAAACCTGGTGTACGTGTTTGAAAGAAAACGCGTGTTTCAGGACATTTCCTCCAAGCATATTGCTCGATTCAATGCTCGTCATAGAAAACTGGCCATTGTTCTGTGCAGTAGTGATGAACGGCCTGCTGAGTATGCCACCAAGCAAATACCTTGGGCCAGTGTCCGCTTTTAAGTAGTAAGCTTGTATGCTCTCAGGAAGTTTGGTGTCGTCCTCTGTCCATTCGCCCACCTCAGCGCCGACAAAGTCAGGCCTGAAGATAACATCGTAATTCTTGGTAATCTCTCCAATCTTAGGACCAAGTGCAGCCATTGCATTCCGGGAATCGAACTCAGGAGCAAGCACTCCATCATACTGTTCGCTGATAAACCGGAAGAAATCGACCCACTGGCCTGGGGTGACCAGCCCTAGAGTCTCATTGTATGGACCAAGAAGCTGTGGCTGATGCACAATTCCCTAAAACAACCAGGATTAGCCAAAAGTAACATGTACCAGATGAATCCAGTCTCACCGGCGGGACATAGCAAAAGTCGCCTGGCGACAGAATACGGCACTTATCGCCTGCCCAAACTTTCAATTGACCACGCGTGCACGTAAAAACGTCATGGGCATGGTTGTGGTAATGGAAACCTGCCGGGTCGCCCAGTACGCCATCCATGTGGAAGACAGAGATAAGACCTTCCGATTCTTTTGCTGATGCTAGAATGCGGATAGCACTCTTAGCGCCCGGCAGTGTCAGGGACTCTCCCTTATGCGAGGGAATGATATATGGCGTGGAAGCACCCGCAGGCTTGTCTGATCTCGGAATAGACATTTTGATGAAAAGATGTTAAATAGAAGTCCTCAATAAAAGCTTGTAAAATGCCGACAAATGGGTTCGTGTGCTTCGAACGATGGGTATGGAACGTGTTGTGAAGTGTAGCACGATAAGTGTATCTATACAGGAAAAGAAGCTTGGTTCTTCTATGTATACGCGTTTCTATTACCTGTCGCCGTAATTGGGGTGGATTCGCCAATGATGGAAGAAATATGGGGTTTCCCCCGGAAACAAACTCGCTCCAGGGAACAGAAAATTCCGGGGAAGAGATGTCCCCGGACCCCGGCCCCGGGGAACAGACCCTTTCTGAGAAAGGGCCCGAGATTCATCCGAATGGAGAGTATCTGCACGGTAAACAGAACTGAGATCAATGTAAAGAAAATACCCTTCGATTCGCAAAAAAAGAGCCTCAACGTTGTTTCAATTGCTTAACTTTATCCTTTCGATTTCCCAATTACCAATTTACAAAGACGCGATGTCTAAGCCTCTGCGTGTTCCTTACAAAATCGCTGGGAAGACAAGTATCCCTACAGATATTCATATCCCATCATCCCGTGCTGCGCAGAAGTATGATCTCTTGCCCGTCTTGATTATGTTCCACGGCGGCGGATTTATGCTGGGCCACTCAGGAATGAACAATGCAGATCAGATTGAGGACTGCCTTGAACGAGGTTGGATTGTGCTCTCAGTCGAGTATCGTCTCTGCCCGGGGGTCAACGTTCTCGAAGGCCCAATACGTGATGCTCGCGATGCTCTTCTATGGGTACAGGAGGGTGGACTGGAAGCTGCATTGAAAGAGTCTTCCGAAACCGTCTGCCCGGATACAAAGCGGATCATGGCCATGGGGGCTTCAGCTGGGGGAACTCTAGCACTGTCTCTGGTAAGTACTGGTTTCTAGGCAAGCTGCGAAATTAAAGGATTCACTCTTACATTCTTTTATCAGGCCTGGAATGTTCCGGCTCCTCCTATTGCGATCCTTGACTTCTACGGCCCAAAGGACTTTTCCAATGAAAGCTGGCTACAGCCAATCGATGGCATGCTGCCTCGACCGATCGTATCTCTCCAATCATCTGATATCGCCAGGCTGTACGAAGCCAAAGATATCTTTGCCGGCGGCCTATCTCTCGAGGGTCAGACGGCTAGCCCCCTGCCTGATGCCACGTTGGATATCGAGCTTGATAGCAAGCGCAAACTCTTCGCACTGCAGGCTATTGCTCAAGGAAGGATTCTCAGCGTGATTTGGCCGCCGTTTCCTAGCGACTTGCATTTGATTGACCCTTTGTTGAACGTAGATAGAGATTGGCCTCCAGTTGCTATCGTCCACGGCAATATTGACGCTTTGGTGCCCATCAGTTTAAGCCAGCGGTTTGCTGATAAGTTAAAGCAGCATGGAGTGGAAACAGAATTTATCGAAGTTGCGAACGAGCCACATACCTTCCTTGGAACTTTGATCAAAGGATCGAAAACATGGTATACTCAGCAAAAGGGCTTTGACTTTCTAGAGCGTGTATTGATGCAGAGCTTTAAGAAAAAACCGCACAGCAATATGTAGCGAAATCTTATATAAGACTTTTAATCTTTTACCTTAAAAACAAAATCTTCATAGCTTGAGATCAGTCGTGTTTGTAGAATTCTTCAGTGTTCGCAGAATGTTTGGTTTACTTACTCTAACATGATAGCCGTTGCCTTGAGCCTGTAGCTTTGAGACTTGAGAAGTATAAATAGACCAGTTAAGTCAATATCCGAAACTAAGACGTTGGATTAATCACTTTGCATCAGGTTGACAGATTCTGCACCACGGTATGTAAATCTTTTTGAGTTAGCTAAATATTAGAAACTTTAATTATCTCCTGTTCATCTTCCGTGTCCTTCACAAATCTATCTGTCCCACTAGAACTCTACAACTTGTGCCGATTCTTAAGACTCTCAATTACATGGCCACCAATGGGAACGGCCGCGGTGATTTCGATGTTGCGCAATTCATCGATTCTTTTCGACGCCTCTGGATTTGACCTGATAGTCTCAGTTTCCTTTCTCGTCCATGCGACAAGATCATCCACATGCTTCTGTTTCCCAGCCATCGTGATACATGAAAGGTCAGAGTCATTGTTCCAATGAGGTCGCACAACGCCGTCAGAGTCCATCTTGAGGTAGCCATCTGCCCCGCACGTGATACAACCTATTTTGTTGTCTTCGCGACCGAAGAAATCGATTTTGGACAGGTGACAGTAGGGGCATGCACCTGGAGGTATAGGACCGAGGTATTGAGCTTCGTCGTGTGACTTGCCGATTTGGCCAGCAACGTTGATGCCCAAGCGCTCAGCACGTTCAACAGCTTTACCATTGTTGTTGAAAACGACCGCTCCAGGCATAATGTTTCCCAAAAGAACCTCTTGATCGATAACCTTGGCATGCAAGCTATATATCAAGAGGTGGAGCGTTGGTAGTACCATAGTGATCTGGTCAGGCGTTGTCGATCCAGCAACAGCCAAGAAACCGGCGACTCGGGGTTTCAAGAGTTGTGGATCAAAAGGTATGTTGGCCAAATCTTTGTCTCCGGAGTCTTGGGCTTTAGAAACCCTATGGGCCAAAGCAGCATCAGTATGTGGCCCCAGGATCATGTCTGTTAGAGCTTTGAGTCCCCCGGCCGGCGTATGACACTGAACAGGAGTCGAGAATATGAGGGCATCAGCGGCCATGATCGCTTGAAGTACCGCTTTGCGGTCATCCCTAACGCCTTGCTGTATCTCAGATACTGACCGTGGGGTTCCAGGAATATTCAAGCTGCTCTCGAGGGGTACCGAGCTGGGCGGAATCCATAGGGAAGGGACGTGGATCCATGAGGTGGTGATAGAAGGGTATGTTTCAGTTGCTGCCCTCAACGCGGCTTTCAGTAAAATCTCCGAATTCCCACCAGGCGTTCCGTTCGCAATTCCTAGGATATGCATTGTGACTGTTTTGCAAAAATGAAGAATGGCGAGTTTTCCTTGTTTAGACTTGAAGGGGCTCCCTTGCTTGGTACATGGTATATGTACCTGTGCTATTCTTAGTGGTCCCCGGATTTGAAGCATTCCGGGGAAGTTGTCTCTTGGAGTGTTTTTATTTAGGTCAACATTCCCCGGAACTGGCCCACTTGGGCAGGCTTGGAATGCTGTGGATACATAAGTCATAATCCATCTAGTCGAAGCAACATAGCCCTAGGTAATAGCCAACTCCTGATGTCTATTGAGGTATTATATAGAGGTTATTAATAAAGAAGCATATCCAGCGAGTTAACTGCACCGAGGTTTTAATCGAATCATAGCCTTGGTTCAGCAATGGTTTTCTGCAATTATTCATGTTTTGACTTAGCTATGTGCATGATGTCATCTCCCCAGCACAGGGCACGAGCTAGAGAGACGCGGTCTCTTGGAGATGGAACTCCCGCTTAGTAATAGGCTGTTTCACCGCTGTTGTGCGCCAATGAAACCCCGCGATGCGTAGTCCTTCCGATTCACAGAATATCTCGCCCTAGGCATAATTATCACTTGGCAAACTGCGTCAACTCAGCTCTCCAACACGTCTATGGCATCTACTCCTTTGCTTGATACCAGCCGGATACGCCCCCGCGTCAATCGTGTGGCTCGGGCGTGTGACTACTGTCGTAAGAAGAGGGTTAGTGCATATTGTATTCCCACCAATAGTTCATCCATTCCTTATTGACAATATTTTCCTGTTGTTTCGTGCAGCTCAAGTGTACCCCTGATAAGCATCCATGTTTAAACTGTCAGCTATACGGGGCTGAGTGTACCTCGCACGATGGGCCTCGGGGGCGCACAACTCAGTCTACGCGCCGTAATGGTGGACACATCCATACGCCTACGTCCGTCGAGACAACGAACAATACCAGTACAAGTTCCTCGATCTCGACAAGATCTGCAAAAACGCCTACTGCCCCTGATGACGGCTCTGCCACGCGGTTGTGGTCCGCAGGAATATGTAACGAAGAAGAAGCCTATGATAATGATGTTGGCAATCTCATATACGAATGTGAGGCAGAGAACGCGCCCAACTTTTGGGACTTCGATGAAACAATGCTTGCTGGGCTAGAAGATGTAAATACACACCATGGTGACGTTCGGGCATCAGGTGATTCCGAGGCGGCGTCATCAGGGCGGACAGCTGGCAGCTTTCAACTCTTTGATTCGCTGACAAATGGGCATTTTGGCTCTATAACTTCCCGAGACTTGGCAGGGGAGGAATTGATGGATGACTTATCCAATTCGATGACAAAGTGTGATGCTGATATTCAAGTTTTGGGACCAGCAGAACTTTTAGTCACTCAAAATGGAAAACAAAGCGTGCATATTGGTGAGTCTTACCGGGCAGATCTTTTAGTGCGCCCAATAGCCTGGCTGACATTTTCGCTACTTCTAGGTATCAATTCTTCTGGGGCTACTGTTGCTTCATGCGTCGACGATGCGTCAAAGGCACAAGCGACAGTTGCACAGCCAAGTACAGCAGACTTTTTGATCGAACTTAATCACTACAGCAATGACGCTGGTGTATATTCACCCCCTGCTCCACTTTGTCAGTTGCCAGCTCGGCAGATAGCTTTCGAATGCGTTGAGGGTGAGTGTTAGCAGCAGGTACGAAGAACCTAACACTAGCATAGCTGACTTGGCATCTGCGTAATAGGTTACTGCAGGAAGGTTAACACGTACTACCCTATCATTGATCAAGAGAAGATTCGACAAAGCCTGAACATGATGTATTCAGAAGCACGAAATCAGCTTGGAGCTCTCGACCATTGTTTGTGCTATCTTGTCATATCAATAGGCTCGTTGATGAATCCTATACCCACAGAACATGCCAAGACCACCGCGGATCTCTACCGTGAAGCTTGGTCCTTGCTACAGGACTGCATTTCGTCCCCAGGCGAGCTATCTTTGCAGATCGTACTGTTACACGTAAGTCAAACTCATCGTCTTACTCCACGTCTAGACAGAACCTAACACATACTTTTCTAGGTTGTTCATTATATGGCTGTTGCAAAAGCTGGGATTGCGTGGACTTACTCTGGATTGGCTGTCCGGATGGCCCAAGGTCTAGGACTTGACAGACTCCCGTCACAAACGAGCCTTACTTCATCTGAATCCAAGAACTTATGGTGGATTGCTTTGAGTTTCGATGCGTAAGGCATTCCAAAAACGGATTAGGCCTAAAGTCGCTGACACGCCCAGGACGCTTTCAATGTCGCAGGGTCGCCCTCCAGCTGTTGCTAAGATTGACCTATCCTTTTCCAAAACCCCTGGGGATCTTGAAACAACCGAAAATGGGTCCTTACTTCCCAACTTCTCGTATATCTACTCCTGGATATTCCAAATCCATACTTTCCAAAACCGTTTTTGCAACATGATACAAGGAAGCGAGTCGCGCGCCTGGAAGCTTAGCCAGATTGCAAAACTCGACTGCGACCTAATCCAGTGGAAAGATAGCCTACCGGTCGAATGTCGACCTGACAACTTAATCCTGGTGTCCCCCGAGAGGTATGCACATATTCTTTGCATCCACCTTGAGTACTTTAACATGCTTCGCTCGATACATTGGCTGGCAATGAAACTGGCATCATCAGCTACTGGCGAGGCCCAAACCGTGATGAGCGGACGTCTTAAAGCAAGTGAAGCTATCTGTCTTGAGGCAGCCCGGTCTCTCATCAAAGCCCTGAATGAACACAACAATGCCTCCGATGGGAGTGACTGGAAAACTTGCGCTATTGTGTAAGTTTTGGATGTTGTTGGTAGTGGTTGTTATCTTACTGTATAGCAGATTTCAAGTGAACAATTACATGGCAGCGATCGCAACGTTGTATTGGAGTATATCTATCAAACCAAAATCTCTCTCAGCGCGTGCTGATCTCGAGCTTCTGCGAGCTGGAACTATTCATCTTCAGCGAGATACGCCCAATACCGTTCCTGGCCCTGGTATCCATAGTATGATCGATAATCTTGTCATCAAAGCGAACGATCTTGTCTGGAAGGGCAAGTCTCATTGACAGATTATTCGACAAGATTACAGAAGTTATGGATGTGTCTACTCTTCTAGTCATATATCTAGTGGTTTGCCTAAAGCACCTTGGCAGCCTCGTCTATCGAGCTGATATCATTCGGAATGGTCCGATGAGCTACTCCTGCATGACAGCATTGTATCTCTCTTGATTCATGACTGAGTTTTAGTGTCAAGAAACTTTTGGCTACTTATTGAGTAAAGGAATAGAATTGGACAAGGCCATGCAAAGAAAGACATACGATAAGGAAATGCTTGGACTCGCAATAATGATCAATAGAAGTAAATGGCACCCAATGCTTGATTAGATTTCGTTATGGTAAATGCTCTCCTAAGCCCCTTTGACAGAGGTTTCGATTGCTTTCCGCTGGGACTTTGCGGCAAGCTCTTCCATTTCTCGCTCCATGTTCTTCTCTAAAGCATCCCAAGCTGCGCGTGGTAAGTTTCCATGGAAACTCCAACCGCCTCTAGAATCATCAATGACTCTTATCACAACCGGCTCCATGGTCAATTGCACTGGCCTCTCTACCGAAACTCCTTCTCCAAAATTCGGATTCGAGAGTCCGAGATTCACGAAAGATGTGATGAGACATCGCTGATTGCTGAGATTCACTTCTGGAACTGCAAAGCGGTTTGTATTACCGCAATTCATCCTGAAACCCATGAATTTAGAGACGTATTCTGGATCTTTGAACTTCTCTACCGAACGGCGAGTTGCCAGCGCCAGATCTTCAAGTGATGTATGTTGAAGTGGGCCAGATTCAACACTCGGCATGACGGCCAGGCCTAAAGCGTTGCCTGATACACTGGGCGAGATGAGATCATGCTTGCCACGTAGATTCACAGCTCGAGATAAGGTCGTAGATATTCTTGGTGAATAAATTTCGCATATTGCCTTTTATTTCGTCAATATCGAAGCAGAGAATCTGTGATAATCTTACCCTGTAAAACCAGCTAGCAACGATGTCATTTCGCGAGAGTACTACTCCTGGTCCTGCGTTCGACCTTACCCGCGTGACCAGTGCCGCAACAAGATTTGGGGGCATGTACGCCGTTCCAAATGTGCGCGGATAACGAAGACTATAAAACTTTGAGAGCAGTTTCAACTTCAATCCACCCCAAAGAGTGACGGCTGCCCATCCCGGAAGGGACGAGGTGGGATTTATCTGAAGGTTACTGGTCAACGCATTCAAGTTAGGTCTGTCCTTTAGTCCATCGATCCCCGATCCATGGTTATCCGGATCATGGGAGAGCATGTGTGTGTCCTCCGCGAGAATGTCTTCCCACTCGGCAACTATCAGTCTCAGAGCGGGTGCATCGAGTACGACATGCTGCCATGCGACAGTCATCAAAGTTAAGTCTTTGGCTCTCACAAAGTGAAGATGCATCAACCGCCCATTCTGCTTTGCACACTGGTGGGCTGTTTTCGTGAAGGCTGCTAGAGGCTGTAGGCAGGGGACCTTACGAGGGTCGAATCGTTTAACACAAGGAGACGCCGATCCACGAGGAATGTAGTTAGGGAGAATCTCATGCAGGGCTCGATCTGGTGCTCCGAACGTAGTGACCTTGAAGGGCTCAGACCGTTCCTGCGACGCTTCGGGTATATCGATTTCAAACTTGAGCCGGAAAGTATCAGCGCCTGAGAAAAGTGCATATATGAACATGAAATGGGTATCAAGAATGGATGAGACTTCTTACACGTTTCTCTCTCCATGCCAAGCGCCCGGCCAGCCACGGAGCTTTACGGAGAACTGACAGTTTGAGCGTGTCGCTCATCCGTTCGATATTTATATCTCCCTTGAGCGCCCATCCCAGGATAGGCGTCATGTTCTGATAAAGCTAGCTGTCACTCAGAACCTACTACAGAAGAAGTTTCCACGTCATAAGGTCGACATACCGGCTCGCAGTCCCATACGGTTAAAGGGTGTGTATTCCTTTTGCTGGCGGTTGTTCGTCCATAGTATCTCCTACTGTGGTGAAAACAACTTGAAACTCTGTCAACATCTCTCATCATTGTGTGCTATACCTCGGAAGCATGAGGCATACCATTTCCAGGCTAGTAACTTACCGTTCTTGTGCTGTTTTGGCCGTTCTCAGAACAGATGTGCGGTAGCATCTATTGAGAAGTAAGAATGACATGATGAAGTCAAACAAATTCGACGATCATTCGTTAGACAGCTTATTTTGATAGTACGGCGACATCGATTGTTATCTGAATGTAGAAATGAAAAGAAAAAAGTACAGTCGTGAAGCATAAATGGGAGTTGTCTTGGGAAAGAACAGCTTTCAGGATACGAGGGAATGTTACGGCTAGAAATGCTGATGCTTATCTGTCTGTCATATCAGACCCGGGAAGAAATGTTTCCCTATACAGGTTGTGATAGGATATGGGCTAGAAACCGTGATTTACAATAAGTAGTGCTTACTTTTGGAGATTAACAAGAGAAGAAAAAAGCAACAGAGAAAAGAGTAATAAGGAAGGGAAGAAGAGATAAGCTAAAGAGCACCTTATAGCACCTAAAATAAGTCACTAACTTGTATTGGAGGAATAACAATTTGAGAAGATCGTGCATAATCTCTGGCTGATTTAGACCAGAGTCCGGATGCAATAGGTTCATTAATGCGGATTGGTAATACTTATGTCATTCTTTGCAGGCTTACTAACACAACCATAACAGACCCTTGCTTGCACACGGAATCTCCCGGTCTTATACTTGCAAAAGGTTGCCTGATTATCTCGCCTAGGATATCCATTAAATATATATATCTCTCGAAACATGTCAAGCCAGTACATAAACAACCTTAGGCAGTGCATTTGATAAATCCTTGATCGCCACCGGGGGTCATGCTCTTATGGCACATAACGCCGCACAGATGCCCATTCTCCGCCGTAAATACAACACGACATTCCCCTGGCCCAGGTTGATCGGATTTCGACTTGTTGGCATCATAATGCACAGCTCCAGTGCCCTCAGATGAGCGCTGGTAGATAGGAAACTCGTAGATCTCAACCGGACGCTTCTTCGAATTGCAGGCCGTGTCGTCGAACTTGATATCGCCAAAGTTGCTGAACTCGTGGGGATACCCGCTCTTGGTAGGGTATTTCTTAGTGCTCGGGTTGTAGAGACCTTTCACTCGGTTGTACTCCTCCCGGGCCTGTTGTACAGTGAAGATAAAAGTACCGGTGCTGACTTTACAAGTGACTCGCTAGACCAATGAGTTAGGCCAGTTGACTTGGTGTCGATATACAGGCTAGTTTTTACTTACCGCTGGCATTCCACGAGCTTCGAGACCCGTGGCCGGTTCTGAAGGTATAGTAGCTCCAATGACTTGACCAGTAAGTAAGAGGGCAATGCCCAAACCCTGTAGTCCAATCATATCGTTATAAGTGTTGTGAAGTTCTAGCAATAATGCTGAAGAGGAAGGGCGATGCTGCTCGAGATAATCCTGAAGTCGAGGGAAATTAACATCTTTTATAGAGGCAGCTGAGGCAAGTGACGCGCCGTGTAAAAATACTAGGAATAAGTTTTAAGAATATTTAGATCTACGGCAGTTGAAATTCTACGGCCATAGGCTGAGGAGCATTGTATCAGCTCTCATGGAGTGGAAGGTCGTTTTCAAGGATAATACGAGGTATTGAGCAAAAAGAGCTCTATATCCATGGGCTATGGCCCTTGGCCGAACTCAAGCTAAGCTTGAATCACTATAAATCACACTTAGTAATCTCTTGGATATGTCTTTATAATTGCATGACTGAGCCGTCCCCTTGCGTTCCCGGTTTCATGTACAGGGGTAACGCTAGAGATGGGTCAGTTACTCAGCTCGTCCCGCAGGCAGGTGATCACATAACAATGAACTCAATTTGACATGTAAGGGGAAATAAAATGCCTCTTCCTCTGTTGCTCAGACCATTTGGGGGCCACGAAGCGGGCCTCGCATAAGTCGGCCGCCTCCAGTCAATACGAGTTGTATTCTAGACTATGCATATAGCTCTACAAAAGTCGGAACTGAGAGTACAGGGTGCTAGCAGCAGACACAGTGTAGAGGGAAACAGCGATATTGACTTAAGTCCAAGCTATCTTTACTTCTTCTTCAAGCCGCACTTACTACAAGCAGGAAGATTCATCGTTTCAGCATACAAGTACTCGGTACATATTGTTTATTCAGCAAGACCAATACAAACTGTCCACTTCGGAGGGTGTGTCCCTGTCTTGTTGCAGTCGTGGAAGGATATCAATAAGAGGTACACGGCCGGCTGAATCACTCGCTCACTCTCTCCATGGCAGCCTTGGCCTCCGAGAAAACTTCCCTCAGATCATCAGTCGCTAACGAGTGATTTCTCAACTCGGTAAATCGTGATCGCCAAAAAGCCCAACGCTCCAAATTGAACCCAGGTCTCCCTTTCCATAGCTGCCCCCGAATACTGGAGTCTTGGAGCGCATTCTCTCTGCACATGTGATAAATCTGCTGTGACGACAGAATGAACCAAGGCGCCGCTGCCTGTGCAAAACACTCGATGATCGTTTGAGCTTCCCTTCTGCTGCCGTTCTCAAGGCCTAGTTTGATACTTTCCAACGCGCGGTACCAACCTCCATAGAGATTTCCAATCGTGAGATATGCGGCTAGGCCATTTAAGTTGATCCAATGCTGAATAGTTTCAGGTGGAATAGTAGCTTGATTCGTAATTCCTGCTTCTATTCATCACGTTAGCTTGCTGCGTGCACCTTTTCCTTAAAGGATTCCCGGGCAAGAATAGCAGGTTTAACTTACGATTCCATCTCTCAGTAAAGAAAAGCGACAGGTCTGGTAAGTCCTGCCATAACCTCCGGCCGTCCTCCAGGATAGCAGTACTGGGCAGGTCACGAAGGGTTTTAATCAAAGAGATGAATCTTTGCATTTGTTGAGTTTGATAGTCAAGCTGGACAGCGATTTGGAACGCAATGTCCCAAAAGGCGGCAAAGAAACCTCCTGGTGATTTGTGGCGCCCGT